GCCTTTGTGCATCTACAAAGAGTTTTTAGTCAATCTTTGTTCATTTTTGCCGCTTTTACGCCTTATTTCTGACTATAACGAAGATTTATTTGAATTTCACGAGGCAGATGATACGTAAACATCCCTGATTGTGTTACTGCAGTCTATACTCGTATATTCATGAACAAGGAATCATTTCATTTATAATAGACCAACATACACAAGTTGATTGTGCTAATTATAGTACGCGAGACTTCCGTCAAGGTCGACGGCGCCAGTAAATCAACTGTATATCGCTACTTTTAAGTTTGCTATTAATGTCCACTGCAGTAATATATTTAGCTCGACTTTTGACTTCCTTTTTATGTTCATAATGCATTTTTTCGTTTAAAATTATATTTTATATTACAAAATCCTCTTTGATATTAACATTATTATGCGTGTATGGACATAAATAAATGATTTGTTTGAGAAAACAGTGGAATTGTTATCCAATCGTATGAAAGAATTGGAGAAAATGATCAGCGACAGGGCAACGCGGAAAGTAAGACTAGAAACGGGACATAGCAAAAACAAAAATAATGGCAGCAATCTGATGCAATTGCTGCCAAAATAATGGCAGCAATTGAAGCGATTGGTTGCACAAGGGAAAGTGGAAGAAAAAAGAGGACCAGGGAGACAACGCACGTCCTGGTGGAAAAATTTAAAGCAGGGGAGTGGAAAAACAACAATAGAACTCTTCGGAACTGCTGCAGATAGAGTGAAATGAGCCGTAATGACTTCTAATGTCGTTAAAGGATGAGGCACACGAAGAAGAAGACGAGGCTAAAATAATTTTTTTTCTATATTTTAAAAGCAGTAAAAATTAAAAACACCTAAATAATTTGCAACTATAACAAATCATATCCCCCTGTAAATTAGAATCATCGTTTCAAATTAAATCCGTGAGAAGGGAAGTTCAAACTGATCTCGAGGCAGAATAGAATGTTATTTTGGTTTAAAAAATTCCTCATTATAATGGACCCATATTATATCAATCTTTAGTCCTTGAACGGAGTGATGTGGCATTTTCTAACATAAAAGTGGTATACACACTTAATTATCTACTTTTTTGGTGCATTTTTGAAGTGAAATCAAGAAAGAAATCGTTATTCTACGCTTTATAGTTTAATATAAAAGGATCCACGAAATAACTTATAAACAGAAATAATATTTTATGAAAACTGAAAGATATGATATTGATAATTTATTCATAAACTTGTTGCTCTTGTTGCTTAAAAATTACAATGTTACGTAAAAAACAAATGTAATACTTTAGAATGATTGAAAAACATAATGTTTACTTCTGTACTATAAAATGTTCTTAAACTACAATTAAAATCATCATCATCATTCTCCTTGTCTTTATACCTATGAGGGGTCGGCTTCTCTAATTACATTTCTCCATAATTGTCTATCTTGGGTCATATTAATATTAATACCCTTTACCGAAATGTCCTGCTTAAGCGTCTCCCCCAGGTCTTTTTTGTCTTCCTTTCATACTACTTGTAGGAACCCGCAGATCAGCAATTCTTGGTATTGGCTGATTAACCTCTCTACGTTGAACATGACTACACCATCTTAACCTATGTTCTCTCATCTTGACAACAATTGGAGCCACCGCTAGACTTCCCCTAATATACTCATTCCTAATTTTATCGCTTTTTGTCACTCGTCTATCCAAGCATTCTCATTTCCGCCACATGCATTCGATGTTCCTCTTTCTTTTCAACTGCCCAACATTCAGTTCCGTACATCATAGCTGGTATTATGGGTGTTTTATAGAATTTTCTCTTCAGGTTCATTAGAATTTTTCTGTCTAGTACTGCCAACAAGTCGATTAATCATTTCCTGTGAGAGATTCTCCCTTTCTCCTTTACAGCAAATTGTAAGTTTATGAATGGGTCTAGGAGGATTCTCTAGAGCGTATACAGGCAGCTCTAGATAACACACCCCATGCATGTTCAAGAAGTTTTATGTTTGGAGACATCTCAGGCCACTCCAAACGACGAATACGTTCTTTCTCAAGATAGTCATTTACCGCTTGAGTCCTTTGTGGGCCAGTGTTATCATCCATAAATATAAAATTTTCACTCACAGCTCCTCGCTATAATCTCACATCTTCTTCTTCTTCTTCTTCTTTTTCTTCTTCTTTTTCTTCTTCTTCTTCCTATATAGACATAACTCTGTCTGTTTTTCAATGTGCCTTCAGTAAGTTGTCGTTCCATCGTTTTCGTGGTCTTCCTACTGACCGTCTTTGACCTTCTAGAGTCCCTTCCGTCAATAACCACCAATTCCGAGCTTCCACCTGCCATAATACCTGCCCACAACATAACGCTAAGTACCAGCAGCGAAACGAAGCATGGGATGGGCATGTGTTAGTTGTGCAGCTCTTGTTGGCTCTTGCCAAATACGACTTCGCCCGCTATCACTATTTAAGCAAACTCCACTACCAAAACTCCAAAACTATATGGTACTCATCCACTAGACCTATAAGTGCTGGGACAGTACTCCCTGGAATGGGTATCGTGAACGAATGGAAGATGTAAAATAAGCCAAATAGCTGTAGTACAACTGGTTTATAACAGACGACTTCTAAAAAACATTAAGTGGAAAAAGAAATAGCTCTTAGATAGTTAATTATAATGGTTTCTTGGTTTGCATTGAGGTGTGCAATTCTGGCTTAAATCTGTAAGTCTTGCTCATTTACATTTTATGTTGCCAAATTTTATGTTGCATTGGACTAGAAGCTTTTTCGAGATGGTCATATTATTTTTAAGTTATTGTACAAAACTAGGACAATAAGGTATATATACATAGGAGTACCTATAGAATTTTGATTTATACCTTATTTAGTTATAAAATGCATTTTTGTACAGGGCGCGATTCTTTTATTCAGTAAGATTCAAACCACTAATAGTTCAGTTTACAAAGATCTCTACACCATAGTGAAATATATTTTCAATAAGAATGTCATATAATTATATATAATATTACTTTATTTATCCATGTTCTATTAAATTGTAGTGTATTATAACACAGGCGTTGTTATGATGAAATGATTTTGGTGTTTCTCTAGGAAAACGTGCATTTCGTATGACCCGATCAACATGCTTTTGACATTTCCTTATTTATATCAAGAATAATTTCGCTTTGCAATAAGTCAGAAATCAGAATGAGGAAATGGATGAAAACTAATCAACAAAAGATACTGTGTACTTATTTATTATTTTTTTCATCACTGACTAACAGATACATGCCACTGTTTTTCGTACTTCGTACAAGTATATATATATATATATATAATATATATATATATTATATATATATATATATATATATATATATATATATATATGTATATATGTCGAAGAATCAATGGATCAATTCTTTTTTATAACTTAAAGTTACATCTTACATTACCTAAAGCATTTTAAGTTACGCTTACATAATAACTTAGGTTTCAATACAAGTAAACTAAACATTTTGCACAGAGCCATCTAGTGGAAGTTACTAGATCTCGGAAATATGATTTTCGTAAATTTTTATATTTCTTATGGTAAAAACATCGACAAATTGGAAATCCATCGCGTGGTTTAGCAGCAAAAAAATTGCAAAATAATCAATTTCGTGAAAAATTAAAATATCTCGTGAACATTTTCTTGCAGGGATTTTATAGGATTTTAAGGTTGGTCTAACTAAATAACAATACAAACAATTTTGTAAGCCCACTTGGCAGTGAGAAAAATGTACAGTCGTTGGATACTTAACTCATAATTTGATTGTTGCTCATAAGAGGCAGCTCAAATTTGGTATGGAACATAACGACTGGTGGTGAAACATGGATACAATGCTATGATTCCCAAACAAAAAACTAATCAACGATATGGTTGTTTCAAGACAGCCAAAATCAACAAAAGTATATAAGGCGACATATTTCCACGATTTAGAACCTTCAATGTTGAATATTATACAATTTGTTTGTCAGAAGTGATTGATGGACTGCGCAAAAACAACTGGAATCACACGTATAATGCATTATACATGTGCCGGCTCTCACATGTATAACATCCGAGTATTTGAAGGCCAAAAACATCGATTTGGTGGATCATTCTGCATACAGTCCTGACTTGGCACCTTGTGAGTATAAATGCTTCGACTATTGTTTTGTTCGAATGCAAGTGTGTATTAGTCTTAAAGGTGAATACTTTGAAAAGCAATCAAGCTGATTTATATAAAAAAATATGTTTTCCTTATATCACTGGGACTTCTCTGAAATATTGTTGAAGCTACTTGTGTCAAATTGGCTATCACTTATTCGGACTGTTTTGCCAAATCACCATCGATGGAGATATAGCATGCCAAAACACGTGAATGATAAAATTGTTTTGTCAAATTGAGTCTTCAGGAGCTGAAGATAAAACACCACAGAAAAACCACCTGTGTTTGCTGTATGGCTCTGGAATAATTGAAAACTGATCCTAATTTTAAATGTTAAATCATCTTAAGCCCATTGTTTGCTTAATGGGCCAATTCAGATGAGAGCCAAGAGCATTCATTTATTCGTAGTTCTTTGAGAACTACGTTGACCAGACATCACCATCAACGGCGATGGCTTTCGATGATTATCAACTTCTTTTGGCCTAAATGGGATGATATGGACACCAACGAGATGTTGGTTTCACCAAAACCGCACTACGTGTCACATAGCTCATTTGAGTGCATGGTCACATCACGTGGAGGTAATGTGAACTAGCCACGTGATTGTACAAGTTTTACATTACATTAGGATCAAATTTCAGATCTAAATTCTAAATTATTCTTTGTTCTAGGATTTTCACAGTGACTAGAAAATCTTAAAGAAAATCTTGATTTGCGACTACTAAAGTATGTAATTTAGGATGAAAGTGTCTTTAGCATTGTATTACTACCTATATAAATGACCTATAAACTTTTTTTTAAAATTGAATTTTTTGTTTCAGCTGTTCGAGCAGACAGGATGAGGGGCGGGCGAAATAAATTCGGACCCATGTACAAGAGGGATCGGGCCAGAAAGTTGCAGATAATGCGGCAGCGGCAGTTGGCGGCGCAAACGTTGAGGGGCGGATTAGGGGCCGATATGTATTCCGGACAACCGGGCACTTCGCCCTTCGCCAACATCCACATCAAACAAGAAATACAAATACCTCAAGTGTCCTCCCTTACCTCATCGCCAGATTCGTCGCCCAGTCCCATAGCCGTAGCTTTAGGTCAGGTTAGTATATACTTATATATAAAATAGACAGCTAGTTGGCACAAAAAGACAGAGACAGGAAAAAAGTTTAAAAGAAAAAAGAGGAAAAATAAAGATGGTCCCTTCACTTTGCCTGATGGAAAGCACAGTCTAGTAATATTTTAAGTCTATGAGAGGGTTTAATTCACATTTAAAAAACTGACATCTTAGTGTTTAAAGATATTTAGTTATAAGAAACTATATAGCTGCGTCATCGTCAAATTTACTTTAAGTTATCCTAACGTGAGCTAAGTATTTCTTCCTGACTTACTTCTTCAACATTTCTTTGTACCTCTTCGATCTGGTTACCGATACTGAAACAAGAAGGCAACGATAAGAATATATCAACAATATAGCAGGTCAGAAACACATCATGTAACCCGTCGCATTTTTTAGATAGGAAAAAATGTGGTAATCGCTAGGGATCAGAACTGGACTACAAGGTGGATGCGGAAGCAATTCAAATCCCAATTCTTGCATTTTTGCCATCTTTTTCATCGACTTATGACACGGTGCATTGTCTTGGTGAACAACAATTTTTTCTTGAACAAATAAGGCCTTTTCTTTGCGATTTCAGTCTTAAACGCTCCAGTAAACGAATATGGTAGTCTCTGTTGATTGTTGCTCCATATTTCAAATAGTTAATGAAAATAATTCATTGCCGGTCCCAAAATATAGAGACCATAACCTTTCCGGTGGTTGTTGTGTGTTTGGTCCACTCAGATGACTGCCGATTTGATTTCAAAGTGAAGTGGTTGATCGATTTTTCATTGATTATGACATACCGTGACAAAAACTTCGACCTTTTCCGATTAAACATAAGCAAAGAGCGCCGAGATTCATCAATTCGTTGATATTTTTGGTCTGGTGTGAGAAAACGCGGTACCCATTTGGAGAACAGCTTCTCATACCCAAATGATCGTGTACAATAGTCAAAATGCTACCCTTTGATAACTTTCGAATGACAGCCCTCTCTTGCAACTTCACTTTTCGGTTTTTTTCAATGTTTACGGAAATAACTTTATCATTTTGGCCTTCCGAGGCTTTTAGCATCATTGGTACCGGTACGACCGCGTTTGAGTTCAGCAAAATATCGCTTAATGGTTGTAATCAATGGAGCAGAGTACAAGTAACACTTTTTAAGCCATTGCTTAGTTTGGACTTTATTTTTCCAATCAAATAACAGTGATAACTCAACACACAAAATTGCTGTGAATCTATTGTTGATAAAAATCACAAAAGTAGCGTCACTTTAAACAATGTAACTCGGTAAATAATAATCCGAATGATATGAACATTTTGACAGTATGTTTTTGAAGGCTAGGACTACCAAAACTGTGGCTAATCCGTGTGAGATCGAGGTCAAGTAAGTCAACTGTCAAATTGGTATTACCACCCACCGCCAATTATAAATATTTACAGGTTAAGATCACTAATAATCTTTATTTTAGATTTTTTTAAAACAATTTGGAAATAAAAACCTCAAAACAACTGTAAAATGTAATACTTCTGTTTTGTTTCCATAATTTTTTATTATTATTCGCTTTTCCAATGATATCTTTTCCTCTTTCCAATGCACTTTTAGCTTCTTTAATTACATTTTTCCAAAATTCTCTGTATTTGGTCATATCCCAAATATTCTCCTTCACAGGTATGTGTTGTACTATCTGTCGGTATCATGTCTTATTTGATATTTCTCTCCAACTCCTTACAGAAACTTGATACTCAACGATTTCTTTAATTGGGTGATTATCATTTGTCGTTGAACTTCGTCATTTTGAAATGATCCCGAAGAATCGCTTAACAATGTAAGAGCATATGAAATAACACAAAATATTTCCATATGATCTCATTTAAATGAATTTTATCGAATGGCGCCCATCCGCCAGTTTCAACGATTGCATCACATCATAAAAACAATGTATAGGTACCCTAGTTCAGTTACCCATTTTTTTTAATTACCGTGTTTCAGAAAATAGACGTCCGGATTTTGAATGCGCACTGTATAGGCCGTGGACGTATATTTATACGTCCATGGTATAGGCACTCACATGAAGAGTAATACATTATTATAAGAGTTATTGTAATAATTAATTCGATTACTTTTTGTATTTAATTTGTATTTTCGGATTACAATGATTGGGCAATTTATTATCTTCAGAATAAGGACAAATTAGACACTGCACATTTAACAACTGATTATTCTGTGGGAGGTAAAAGGTTAATAATTACTAAATCAACGTAATTTATCTTTTAGCTGGTTGTCTTCCCAGCAGGTTGAAAATTAATTATTTTAATGAGTTATAATCAATTATTTTCTCAGGTCTTTGTTTTGTTACTACAAGGATATTGTGCACATACACATATTATGTTGTTGTTTTCTGTTGTCTAAGAAAAAATATTCAAATATTGATATGTGGGTCGTCCCTTACAGCAAAGATTACATTTTTGAATGCGTTATTATTTTGCTAGCACTATGTTTGCACCAAGTATTTTATTATAAGTCCATCTAATAATGGTAAATGAAAACTGACGACACGCAATACATCAGCGAGAAAATAGAAAAAAAGCTGTAGGTATTTTCAAGAAAAGGCAGTAGAAAGCTATTTTGTAACAGAAACATCAGTATATTACTGCTGTTTCTATTAAAACAATGCAGATTCCCACGTTATTGGTTTATTAAAATCACTGCCAATTTAAAAATTTCAAATAATTTTTATGGGAATTATCAGCTGCAGGTACCATAAAATCTACTATCGATAATTTTTAACCGGAGTATAGTCGTTCGTAACCGACGGTAAATTGTTAGGTCACTTAAATCTGTGTCTACTTAATAGTACACCTAAATTGAATATGACAGTACAAGACCGATAAACGCCGTCTACACTTTATCGAAGTTCTTCGGACGAAGTTAATCGAGGCGAGGTGCCTCTCTACATACTCGTAAAGTCGAGTAATGTAGTGTGACACTTCGTATTCGAACTTCGGGCCCTTTGACTTGGACGCGACAAACCGACAGAGAACGGAAGAAGAATGAAGTGAAGCAAAGTCGGATGGACTGCCTGTCTACACTCTCGTACTCGCTGAACTTCGATCAACTTCGCGAGTAGTACAGTAGCCGCTTTAGACTTACAACCCAGCTAGAGTAAGTTCACATGACAAGCGCTTAACGCGCGTAAATTTTTGCGCAGTATTCACATGGTGAGCGCTTGTTAGGCGTTGAATGTGCGTGGCCGCGGCCGCCTTTTTACGGTTTGAATTCTACTTGTCGAAGATGGATGTAGAAATAGTTTTAACGGGGATTATTTATACCGACAGCAGAAACGACGCGAGAGAAGACGGAGATATTGGGTACACCAAATTTTTTCATGGAGGCTGTTTCAAAGCCAGTACATAATTTTGTATTCTAAGCTGTCTTAGCTTTTCATCAAGTCATTTATTGAATTATTGGCTCTGATAATATACATAATATGGCATAATTACATTGAAGTAAGTTTTTTATTAACCAACACAATATCGCAGGACGTTTCCATTTCGAACGAGTTCTGGAAGAATGTGGCGAACCCTAAATACACATGTCCGTGTCAAAAGCACGCGGTCCTCTGACTGAACGGTAACGAAAACTAATGAACTAAAGGTCGATTCAGACAGATTAGTCACGTCTCGTCACAGTGATTGCGCCGAACCGAACAATCCGTCATACAAAATATTCTTTAATACAAATATGTTGCCGGCATTCACACTCATCAGTTGACAAACAGTTTCCCAGCTGTCAGATAGTTGATAGTTCTGTGACCAAACAGGACCGGTTCGGCGCCGAGACTATGACGGGACTGATGTGTCTGAATTGACCTTAAACGTGTGCATTGCTAACTAGCGCCAGCGCAGCGTTCAATGCGCCATGCGCGCCTGTGCGATAGGTATAGGTTATGTGTATGCTGCGTGATAAGTCTTGTATTTCATCAGAAGAAAAACTCATAATTACATTGAGGTAAATTTTTTTTATTAATCAACATAATATCGCAGGATGTTTTTCACTTTCATCTATAAAATCAGAAATCGAATGATCTAAAGCTGGCGTTGACGCTCGTTGCCAGCAGTAGATCGTCAGCGTAGCGTTCAAAGGCGCGTTATCAAAAGGCGCGTTAAGCGCTTGTCATGTGAACTTGCCTAAAAGGTTAAGAATATAACTCAAACTATTATTTACTCCGAAAATAGAAAATTTGAATATTTTGGAGGTCATGCGCAATAAATATATTAGGTATCGAAGAATATCCTATAAGGCAAAATAGACGGTAGCAGAGTACTAGATGGCGGACCAACATCCTGGTTGAAGAATCTTCGCTCTTTCGCCTTGGATAAACTTAAAATCATGTTGTTGGTCTTCAAAAATCGAAGAGGAATCGGTAAAAGCTACAATGTGGTAAAATGCATCATACGTAAGTAATTTATGTACGTAATATTGGATTTTCATTAATTAAAGGTCTTCTCAATTCTATACGTGAAACAAGAACATTTTTTATTCGACAATATTAAAGCTATTTTTTAAAAATACTTTTTATATTTTATAATTTACTCATATATAATATTACTGGTAAATTATTTCATCTTACTTGGAAACAAATTGAAAATTATTCCATTATTCTGTATTTTTGCCAAAGGCAAGAAAAACGCAAGGTCGTATTAGTGATACACTTAATCATAACAATTACGATGTCGAATACCCCAAACGCGATGAAGGTCATACTTCACCTCTCTTCATTACATAATATATGGATGGAGAAGAAACTCGAGCCGTACGACTTCTTAGAAGTGTCACCAAAAGCCTTTTTTAAAAATGGGGGGCTGAAAGGACAACTTTAATCTAAGGATGAGCTACAATTGGTCTCTTAGGTCGAATGGAAGGGTGGTTGAGCGCCCGGTCATGTTCAACATAACCTAACCTAATAGTAAGATGCCATAAACACTGTCAGTATGATAGATTTTTAGATACGCGAACATGTATAGAAAATTGAACATGTGTTTAATGGGAAACTTCATAACTAGCGTTGAAAGAACTGTTTGTTAAAAAATAAAAATCACTGAAGCTGCTATCATGTTACTAAATGAAAAAGAAGAATAGGACTGTGAGGTTTTCACTCAAATGTATTGTATCTGCTGTTATTTTAAACGATATGCAGAATTGAAAATTTGATGTAGTGTCTTGTTATTCCACTAGAACATAAAGTCTGTATATTTATTTCACTTTGGAAATATTAAATTTTTACACTTACATTTTATTTAAAATATTTTGTATTTTGTACTTATGTATTTCTTATTTATTATTATTTTTTTATATTTTAATTTTTAATATTTTAATGTAAATTTTAATAATTTGTGTTTATTTTTTTCTTTACAGGTGTTTTATTTTTCTTTGGATTATTTTTATTTTAGTTACTACAAACTGGTCGTAATGTTCAGATATGTGAATATATGACGTTTTAAATGCTTGGTCCAGTTTAGTAAAAAATAGACCCAAAGATATTAACCAAAGTTGGAGCAATACATTTAATGAACGCAAGAAAAATATGTATTGGGACTAACGTGAAAAGAAAGGAACAAAAAATTTCAATACAACAATAAAAATAATAATACTAGACTCACAGATATTAAAGGAAGTGGAGCAATAGGAACAGAAGAGGACAATATTAAAATATCGTGGCGTTAGAAAGAGATGTCTATTGTCACCGCTACTATCTAACACATATTCAGAGAAAATCTTTCAAGATACCGTAGAGGATAGTGCAGCTGATCAGCCTAAACGGAGAACGCATAAATAACATCATTTACGTAGATTATACAGTGATTTTTGCAGACAGCCCGGAGTGACATGAAGAGATAATGACCAACATTACAGAGGTAGTTCAGATATCTAGACTCTCCCTATCGGCTACAAATATATGATGATCTTCAAAAATATAATCCAATTAGGACAACTAATCCTGAATAGACAACAAATAGAAAGTAGGAAAGTACATATACTCCGGAACAAGTATCAATGAAAAATGGGACATAAAAAAGAGTTTGAATCCTGATCTATCGAAAATATAAAAACTAAATATAAGATTGCAATTACGTTTTAGAACGGATTATGATTGTAAGAATGTAAACCCACACCCAAAGAGTGTATATTAAATCATCATATAGTCCAGACGATTACAAACAAAAAACAGATCGTGACTCTATGACCAACTTCAGGAAAATATTGAAAAGTTTCTATCAGGTCACATAGTTTATGATTGTAGATTTTAATGCTCATATTGGACATGGTATTATTCAGAAACCAAACAGGTTTAATGATTATACGTTTATAAATAGTGGAAGGCACAATAGATTTTATTTTTACCAGGAGGAAAATGCTATCCATAGCAAATCCTTGACTAAAGCTTCTTTGGTACGTCCAGTTTAACTGAAGGTGATGTATTTTGAACCCGATAACTTTGTTGACTTTACGCATTGTTAGTATAAGTGACTACTCAAAACATTTATGTCCTTTTAATGTTTATAAATTAGTAACTATATTGGTAATATAGTTTTTATTCTGTATAATATAATTGTTTTTAATTTAATTAAACTCTTTATTTCCTTTTTTAATATTACTTCCTATTTAAGAGAATATTTTATTTTGGCAGGTGAACTCATCCTTGGTGCAGCCCACGTCCAATCAGCAGCCCGCTCTCCAGATCGTCGGCGTTCCTGGAGGTCACTCGTCGATGGTCATGGGCCCAGAAAACAAGCTCTGGGGCCAAGCGAACTCCACCACCACATCACCCCTTAGTCCCAAAGTGTTCCAATTCGAGACTGTCGTACCGGGCAGCAGTGTACCGCCTTCGAGTAAAGTGTCGCCGCTCATTAGGGATTTCGTGGCCGCCGTTGACGATCGCGAATGGCAAAACTCTTTGTACACTCTTTTACAAAACCAGACGTACAATCAGTGTGAAGTGGACTTATTTGAACTAATGTGTAAAGTTTTGGACCAAAATCTCTTTTCTCAAGTCGATTGGGCGAGGAATTCGATATTCTTTAAAGATCTCAAGGTAAGTTATTGTTTTTGGTTTTACTGTACTATCTTTATCTGATAGAAGATACTAAACAGTAAAAGTAATACGAGTATGTAATTGACATGGCAAAAGTAGAACGCTCAGATTCGTAGGTTTTGATAGTGTTATTTTAAGGTATAGTGCAGCGGCGATTTGTTCTGGTAGTTAAATATCTAATTAACAATGTTAATTTTTTTCTTAGGTATATACCGTTAAAGCAGGACATATCATATATGTCAAAATTAATTTTGACCATTTTTTATTTACATGTTACCTTATAGAGACCCTTCCTCTTACATCATGCTTGCAATGATGTATAATAGCTTTTGTAATTACTCTTCTTTAGAACTTTATAAAAAACAGAGTTAAATCTAAAATTAACGTAAGTATACAGTTCAAAATTTTTCAAATTCAACAAAAAATGCAAGCATGTCTTATACTTATCGAGGAGGTTTTTGAATTTTAGCAATATCATTCTGAACAGCTTTATTATTTTTTTAACTGTTTACGTTTAAACGGCAAACTGGAACCTAAAAAAAAACAAAACAGTACATTTAGGCTATAGTAAGATACAGTAAGTATTGCTGTCCGAATGTGGATTCGTCGATAGTTAAGAATAAAGAAGAATAACAGCAATGAATGAAGCAATTCAAAAAACATAAACTAAAACTAAATAAAACAAAAGTGATGGTATTAGCAGAAGAAGACGAAAAAATAGACATAATAGTTAAGAGACCAAAATAGAACAAATAGAAATAAAGGAGAGAAAACAGTGGGGATGCTTGGGTGAGGATGGACAAACGAATGACAAACCAAAAAGTATAGGTTACAAAAACAACAAGAAACAGAAAAAGAAGAACGCTAAGTGTAACTTGGAACTACAAAGTGAATAAAATATTGAGTAAAGGAGGAGTAGCATGGAATACGACAAGTACAAATAAAAAAGATTGGAAGAATTTGGCAACTATACAAAAAATGGCTGACTACAAACAACGATGAAGTTTATAAATAATATAGAGAAAAAGATAGAGATGTGAAAAAACAAATAACACAACAAAAGAATGAAGAATGGAAAAGAACCTGCTTAAATATTGAAACATGCATAGGAAGTACAAAAACTTCGGAGTCATGAAAAGTACTGAGAGGATTGAAACAAAACTTAAATGAAAAAATTAAATTGGGAAATACCAAATGGAAATGGAACAAATACCACAATTCATTGGAAAAGAAAACAGGCGAAGACGAAGCAGATATAATAAATAAGAAAGCACCAGGTTGGAGGCATTTCATCTGACCTTAAAAATTACAGCTCAAAAAAATTACACCGGATGATAAAATGGATATTTCAGAAAGCCATAAATGGAGAACAGCTCTAATAAAAAGGACGGAGGCATATATGACATCTATAGTTAAAAAAGAAGAGAAAATGATGCAAAAACTACAGAGAAATAAGCACAATATCATCAATAGGAAGATTCTATGGGAAGATACTGCGAGAAAAGATAGGGCAAACGCAAAAAGATCATGCATAGACCACATATACACACTGGAACAACTGTTGGAAAAGAGAGAAACAAAAAATAGAGATATACATTTGGCATTTGTGGACCTGAGAAAGGCAAATGACTCTATGCCAAGGTCAGAACTATGGGAGATAATGTACAAATTAGAAATACAGACGGAACTCATAGACGCTACAAAAGCTCTGTATAAAGAAAATGAAGTGTCCATTAAAACGGGAACAAGAATCATAGAATACGTCACCACAACAAAAGGACTCCTGCAGGGTTGTTCCACATCTCCAACCCTGGACCCATGGACAAGAAAATGTGAAGGCATGAGAGTACCGGTATGAAACGAATACATACATATATACGTTAAGCTTTGCAGATGATCAAGTAGTGATTGCACAAGACCCAGAAGACCTCAGTTACATATAGAGAAGAAGAATATACCCAGGCTGGCCTAGATATTAACCTCGGAAAAACAGAGTACCTTTCTGCAAGTGAATTAGACATAGAAGACCTACAGATTGACGACAACGTAACAATCAAAGGAAAGAATAAATTCAAATACTTGGGGTTTATAATCACGAAAAAGGCAACAACAGAGGAAGAAATTAAGCAAAGATTAGGACGAACAAGAACAGCAATCTGACAACTTAACTCAGTATGGTGGGATAGACACCTAAATATGAAGACAAAAACAGATTTATAAAACATTAGTGCGAAGTATTATGACATATGGGGCTGAAAATTGCATTATAAACAGAAAAAACAGCAGTTTTATTTTTTATCTTTTCTTTTTTATTTTGTGTTGAGTGCCTTTTTAAATTTAGTTTTTCAGGAGGTGTTTGGTTATTATAAACTTTCAGTTTTAATTTTATAAATTAAAACGCCGATCTTTAGAATTAGAAAAGAAACGCAAAGAATTTTAATTGCGCAGTTTATAATATTTTAATTATGACACTCTTAATGGTGTTGTTGACTTGAGTTAATATAAATTATAATTCGTTTATATATCAGCTTATTGCGATCCTGGAAAAGATACGAAATAGAAAAAATGGCTAGAGCAATGTGCAACTAACGACCCAGTTATCTAACCAAGTCGAACGTTAACTTGGAATTGAGCAACGAGTCTTTACCAAATTAAGATTTATTGGAATAAAAACCATCGAGGTGGGCGAATTTTGCGGAGATATCCAAATGAGCATTAAAGTGCACAGTAATATAGTATTTATGATCCCTAATGTTCTAAACAAATAACTATTAATGCAATTTAATTCCAGAGAACAAACTCTGAATAAATCACAAAGGGTTTACTTTGCTTAACAAATTTAATCGACAAGGTAATGAACAAAAGGATTTTTTTATACATGTAATGCGTGGTGAAATAATTTTAATTTTGTTAAATTTGTTATGTTTGTACATTGTGTCTATCTTTAGATAAGTTGGCTATAATCATGGAACGTTTCTTTCTAAACAACTCGAAATAGATCTTCCACCTGAAGACTCGTCCATTGTTTTATGTCCCGTGGCCAGGATAGTTTTTTAGGTCCAATCGATCTATCGCCTTCATGTGACTTTTCTCTAAGCAATGAGTTCAGTAGTTGGTATTTAGTTCATCCGACAATATGAGCAAAGCACAATAGGTCAAATGCTATCAATCTGTTCATCGTTGTAAAGACCTGCTCTCACATCAGCAAGATTAACTAAATATAATATTTTAAAATTATTTTGGGAAAGTGCATAGAGATATTTTTCTTCCAAAATATCATTTTCCAAAGCCTTTCGAGATATCTTAGTTATGGAAAGAATGTTCTTGCACTTTTAGTTTTCAACTAGGTCCCAATGTATTTAAAAGGATCAACCAGTTAATCTACACTGCCATTATTGCTATTTCGTCGACGTATCTCATGTTATTTATTACTTCTCCGCCTATTTCTAGGTTATTTCTTCGCTCAGGCATATCTTGAATGTACCTTCCGAGTATACACGCTAATTTAATATAACCGCCAGAAAATTTGATATGTTAATTTCCTCAAAAGGACCAAGTGCATGGTTATAACAGTAAATCTACTAAGGTGTAAATTTAAGCTAGAGTGTCAGATAATAGAACAAGTGATCAGTGAGAAGAACATTAAAACAATGGAACGAAAACTTACCGGAGGCAAATTGAAAAAAACAGACAATCATGTGGTGACGGTAGACAAAAAGAAGAAGAAAGAAAACATACAACTTTGGGGTAGTCTCAAAGAGCTTATTCTTCGGAGGTTCAAGGACTCCTGGGCCAGTTGTAGAGGTATGAGACAGGCTAGGCTCCACAAAGTGGAGTCGTCCAAAAGTCTTAGAGACCTCCTTGTAGACCGTAAAAGATGCTCTCTGGTGGTCAGTATCCTTACCGGTCACTAAAGACTTGGATTGGTAGATGGCCTACGGTATCAACCTTGTAATGAGGGGAAACCCCTCACATGTCTTCTGGAGGTGCCCGGCAATGGTCTATCAGAGGTGGCAGATCATGGGTTCGGCCTTTATCCAACCGAGGCAAACAAAGTAATTACTGTTGAATAGACGTGTTGCTTTCTGTGAGACCACAAGGTTACTAAAGGATTGGACGCTCGAAACGACAGTAAGAGCATAGATTTCGAGCCCCTGCTGATTATATCAGCATTGACAGATTGTTCAATGTTTTATTATTCGGATAACATTATTACTTTTAAATTTTCACAATCATTACGAATCGAATCTTTTAGTGACAGATATTCTTTTAATTTTTTACTTCTCATTTAATGTCTATATTTTATTAGTTATTTTTATGCAGTTTTTAATTTAAACCTGCTTAGAGTAAATATATGACTAGAAACGAGGGTAGTGAAGACCCGCTATTCCATCACGCTACTCGTGACGACTGCATTTTGTGGCGCTAGTTCCGTGATGCTCACCTTAGCATTTTACTGTAGAGAAAAAAGTAATACAACGCCAGTATAGAATCTTCACTTTAAAAATCAGAACTTTATAAATATACTAAGAATATATAAATGCCTTCAAAAGAAACATGCACCTACCGCACGAACTAAACGATACTGACGAAATGCTACATTGTTACGTTAAAAAAAGACTAACCCCTTATGTTTACCATGTAAATATAATTTGTAGCTCAATTTTCTCAAGTGACTAACAATTTGATTAACAATGTTGTATGTGCTATTCTTAGACTTCCCGTGCATTTCCTGTGTCCCTATTTCATTATTCTTCTCGCCTGATTTCATTATTGGGTTAATTAATTGCATTTTATTTTAGATTTTTTATCTACCGTCGTCAGGTCGATTAAAATATTGATGAAAATGTACCATACATGTGTTTAACCAAGAATTCATTAATGACGTCGAATCAATAAATCAATTAGTGACATGAATTTTGTCACGTCGTGCGTAGTATCAATTATTTTTAGTTGTTAATGTTAATATAAAATTATCATGGTTCGCATTTTATTAATAC